TCCCATGCCAGATCTTGACTGCAGTTGGTGTTGACTTAAACAATGGTATGTTCCATGTTGCATATGCAATTGTTGAAGCAGAGAATTTGAAGTCATGGTCATGGTTTTTAGAATGTTTGGGTAAAGATCCGGACCTACCCACAAGAGCCAACTTTACCTTCATTTCAGATAAACAGAAGGTACCCTTTTTGTGCTCTGTTTTTGTCATAATATATGTTTTATGGATATATTATAGTACTATATATTGTTATTTAGGGGTTATTACCAGCTATTGCAAAAATCTTCCCATGTGTTGAGCACAGGTTTTGTCTCAGACACATACATGAAAACATGAAACTAAAGTGGAGAGGAAATCAATTAAAGGAGATGTTATGGAACCGTGCAACTGCTACAACTGTAATCCACTTTGAAAAGGCTATGAAGAAGTTATCTTTATTCAATAAGGATGCATATGAGTGGTTGAAAAAAATTCCACGAGTTCATTGGGCTAGGAGTCATTTCACAGGTATGATGTATTATGTACTTGTTCTTTAAAGTTGCAATATAATTACCATGTATTGACTATTTCATTTCATTGTGTGATAGGTAGTTCTCATTGTCAAATGTTGTTTAACACTATGTGGGAAATCTTCAATGGAAAATTAATTGATGGGAGAGATAAGTCAATAATCTCAGTTATAGAGTACATTAGGGAGTACCTGATGAGGAGAATGTGCAGTGTCCAAAAGGCAATAGATAAAAGTATGGGTCCTTTAACACCTACTACGACAAATTTGCTAGAAAAAATTGAAGAATAAGCACAACAACTGAGGGTAATTTTTGCAAGCAATGAAAAGTACCAAGTGACATGGGTATTGAATGATCAATATGTTGTTAACATGAGTGAAAGATCTTGTACTTGTAGGAAATAAGAGTTGACCGACATACCCTGTAAACATGCAGTGGCAGTAATTTGGGATATGATACAGAATGGAAAGGTTGTTGAGAGAGTGGAACATTAGGTTCATCAATGATATTGGTTGTCTACTTGGCAAAAGATGTACAAAGTGACAGTGGATCCTATAAATGGTAGAGATATGTGCAGAAATCAGCATGCCCAACAACAATCACCCCCACAAACTCATCACAAACATGTAAAATCAACTCAAAATTAGATTAGTTGTTTTTTAGTATGGTTGTTCAAATAATTAGGTTAAGTTTTATCTATTTTCGGGTGGGAAGGCCAAAAAAGAAAAGAATTAGGAGTGCAGATAAGGTAGCCAGTCAGGTTTTGTCCCAAGGAACCAAGCTCACTAGAAAGTTTATCATTGTTACATGCAGTAAGTGTCATAATAAGGGACATAATTCTAAAAGTTGTAAAGGTCAAGGGGGTGAAGGTGAAGCCAGTAAGAAAGCAGGAAAAAAGAGCAAGAGCAAGGAGAAAGGTGCAGCAGTTTAAGAAGCAAGAATAAGGAGAAGGATGCATCAGTTTATATTTATATTTCCCTGAAAACAACATGTTTTTTTGTGTAATGAGTTGTTTTTAACTATTATGTTTTTGTGGTTTAATGATCAAGTCATGTACTGATGGTATTAGGAACATTAATGTTTGTACTTTCATGGTTTTAAGTTATGGTGCGATTAATGTAGTTTTCTCTTAATGACCTTAATGGTATTAAGAACATTAATGTTTGCACTATTATGCTTGCAATTTTACACCAAACAAACCTTTATATTAATACCAAAGCCCATTTAAACATTACAATCACAAATCAAGTCTAAAATGCAACAAGCCCATAAATTATACAACATTACTGCTTAAACATTACAGTCAAAAGCATGGCTTAATGCCAACAAAAGAACACAAGGATCCTACCAAAAGAAACAACACATCTAACAACCAAAATAAGGGATCCCACCAAAATAACCAACACAAGGACTACAAGTTTCACATACTTCAACTCTACATCATCGTTACCATCACCCATGAAGAACACAACTAAAAAAACCCCCGAAAAAGAGACATTTGTAAATCCTTCTACTAGCTTCCAAGTTGTTTCGTGCTCTCAGTAATCCTGGGATGATATCAACAATCATGGGATGATATCGACAGACCTACGACACATTGGTGGGTCAAACCAGCCAGTAAATGGACATCGTGAGCCATTCGAGGGACAACCCCAAAAACACCTACCTGGATTAACATTTGTCCACGACGTGCGTACAATTGCAGGACGACTACAAGCACATATTACCTTTCTTTGATTTTTCACATATTCAATTTTCGAAAGGGTTTTCTAATGCTTTATTGAGAAAGAAATTATGTTTAAATATCTTTGATTCTTGTGTTCATATAGACGTTGGGAAGAAGGCAAAATCAAATTGACAAAAATACCCCTCGTGTGAAGGGCACGTGATGGTGTTTGACGAATGAAATATAAATGTTGTATGCTCAAGGATGGCCACTGCAATTTTTTAAAACTACAAGGATGAGTCCTATCAAAATTTCAAAGGTTTAACCAAACCTACGAATTAGGACAAACCACAGGGACCAAAACTATAATTTACTCTTATAATTTTAAAATTAAGATTATTTGTAAATTGTATATCCCAACCTTCTAACCTAAAAAGCATACCAATTTATAAGTGTAATCTCGCTTTTGTTAACATTTAATCACTTTTTGTTAACATTTAATCACTTTTTTATACATCATTTACTATTAAACTTGTTTTTGGTCATTAGAATCATATGCTTTACATCATTTATTAATAATGCTTTACATCATTTATTAATAAACTTATTTTTGGTGCTCATGTTACCTAACTTTAGTTGAGTTTGGCATCTACGAGAACTATCTGATCAATCATTTTCTCTCGTGAGTCTCCCACCAACATGAGTTCTCTTATCATTTTGTTATTTCATGTTGGTAATTGAAATTTATATGACCTCTTTTATTTTCAGGTTTAGAAGAATCAATTCTTGAACATGAGTTTTTGTTTCAAATCTCGTTTCTAATGAAACCATCAAAAAACCCTTCAAACCCCAGAAGTTCAAAATAAAAATGTTCATATAAATTTCAATTACCTAACCTAAAATAACCAAATGGCACTTGAACCACTCCATAAATAAGATCTCATGTTCAAACGAAGATAATCATATGAAAGGAATTAAAAACTCGGTAACCAATTTATCATTTTTATATACATATATATTTGTAACAATATTATTAAAAACAGTTTATAAAAATCTAATGACTTCATAATCTAACTATAAAAATCAAAAAATAAAATAAAAAACAAAATTCGGCCAAGGCCTCTCTAACTTCCACCATTCTGCTCCTTTGACATACTTAACAACATAAGTACCACCCTCACAACACACAGTACAATCAATCCAAAGCATTAGGTCCAGCACATGCTTTCAAAACGGGGCTCCATATCCACTGTACCAAAAACTTTCTACTTCTTCTACCGTTCATATTAAAAGTCCGACCCGACCCGTCTTTCATCACTTGACCAATGTACCCGCCTCCACCACCCGACCCATATAACCCTTCACACAAATCCCCAATCTCAGTCGGCGCTGTCGGATCTTCACCGGCATACCAAGCGTTCACCAATGGGTTTGACGCCAGCTCCGCCAGTTCGTGACCGATGACGCTGATCATTCCGTCAACCCCGACGTCACCATTCGGCGGTGCAAGGGAACGCGGCCCGCCGTTACCCATGTACCCCGGAACGGCAAACGGGTAAGCACAGACCTCCGGGCACTGTTTACCGGAATTCCCAACCCATGCGTAGGGTAAGGTGTATCCTACTTTCGACGGGAACGTGAAGTAGTGAAACCCACAGACGGCACGGCAGAAATCTTGTACGGTGACATCGTCGGAAGTGAGAATTAAGTAAACTCCGTTTTTGTGATCGACTGTAAACGGAGCTGACTGAACGGAGGTGGCGATGACGTCTTGCATGGTGAGACGGGTGAGGTGAGTTCCATGGGTGTATTTCCGATCGGAATATTCTCCGGCGATTAGGATTTGGCTGGAGATGTTGGCGTTGGTTTGGTCAGTGTAGAGCGTTACGGTTTTCCACCAGTCGGAGACGGAGGGGGCGGAGGCAGCACGGCGTTTAGTGGTGGAGATTGATAGTAGAAAGTCTTTGATCAATAGCTTTTGAGCTGGAAGCCATTTACCATACCAGATGAGGTAGATGTTGATCGGAGAAGAAAGGACCGGACCCATATGGTACCGGAGGTTGACGAGCTCCGACGACCCCTCAAATCTCTTGGAAGCGGTGAAAGCATCGTGTGGAAGGTTAGGGTTAACAACAGAGGCAGGAAGAACAGAAGATGCGAGGAAGACGAGAGAGAAGAAGGTGAGAGTGAGGGGTAGAATGGACATTTTGTTATGAGATGAAAATAGGGTGGGGAGAAACATAGGAATTTATAAAGAGGGTAAGGAAATGGGCTGGTGACAGCTGCCAGGTTTTTTTTGGGAATGATGAAGTGAAAGTAGAAATTTTGAAATTTGAGTAGGGATGAATGACGAAAATAGCCCTGTCCTTTTTGGCTTTAGATTTTTCAAGTTGTGTGTGTTTGTGGGGTTGAGTGGAATCTTCTTTTTCTAGATTCGATTTCTATTGGGTGTGGTGTTAGTTTATTCTTTCGAGGCCTCAACTAGAAACAAATCAATTAATGAATGTGGCACATCAGAAATTTGGAACGCATGTCATAGATATCAGATATGTCTCATTGGACAATCTAAATTGGATATTTAGTGTTTACAAACTTGGAATGCTAAATCGTTTTCTCAGAATTAATGAATGTAATACATAAGAAAAAGAAATCATACATTTCAAAATGAAAGGATTGGATCAATCTAGCTGTTTTACGAGAGAAAATAAAATAAATGTTACAAATTAGAAAGATTGTGTATGTGTAGTTGTGTACAATGTACCTCTCTCTACAAATATAATAAATATGTTTATGTGTGTTTGATATTCGTCTTGTGGAGAAAGATGGTCTAAATCAATTTTTTCAATCTGCACCACAAAACTGGAATCACACAAGGAATAGAATGGAGAATAGGGTAACAGAATATTAGGTAATGGAATGGATGATTACAATTTACATTATATGAGTACGTTGCTTTCTTTTGCATTAACCCTAAATATATTAGAATTATAGAAAAAAAAAAAAAGACATGGGCACACTCACATCATATTACACTAAACGTTTTGAATCCCTAGCTGTTCCAAGGAATGTGGGCCCACCAGGAATATTCGCCTAATTGTTTTGTATCGGAAAACAACAACTCCTTTATACGCAGTTCTTGGTATACCATCCTTAACAATATAAGAAGCATGAGTTAATTATATATATAAAAAAAAATTGTTCTGTAGTGATTAAACAAACCATTATATATATATATATATATATATATATATATTAATGTGAGATACCTTCCATTCTTCAAAAATGCCAAATTGGCGAGCAATGTCTTCAAAATCTGTTTGATCTCTATATTGTATACGCACATCTCCATCTACATTGTTTATCTTTAGAACAAGATTTGGTTCATAAAGAGGCTTTGCATCTTTCACCATGTTTGCAAAATGGTTTACATATTTATCCTACAAGAGGAAAGAAATACTCAATTTGTCATTACAAATCACCATCATACCAAATGAGTCATCAATTATATCATAACTTGCATACCTCCATTAAGTATGTCAAGTTCATCTTCTTCCAATCAATCTTTCACACACAAAAACAAAGTAATTATTAATATGCATACATGCCAATAATGTAAAAAAAAAAAAAAAAAAAAAAAAAAAAATTACATACCGTGACATCATTCAGCCTAATAGGTTTCAGGTATTGATTGAAGAACTGGCCCAAACTAGAACCCTGAATAGATATTATTATAGGCAATTTGTAATTACTTAAAATACAGTGGCATTTTAAGTAATTTTCATTTAAAATTGTGAGATTAAGATGTGATACCTACATGCTCACCAAAGTTGTATGTTCTGGAAATTTCAGGACGAATAAACTGTCGGCCTTTGTGATTTTCTTGTAATCTTAGCCAGTCATCCCAGTAAGTAATAAGCAGTGAAAGAAAAAGTGTGTTTGTTGAAATGAAAGAAAATCACATGAAAACTGGAAATAAGAATTTATAAAAGGATATGCTTTTGGCCACTTTGGAGATAACTCATCCCATGTAGGTTTAGATAGCATCCACCCAAGACCAGGAAAGAAATCTGAACGATATAATGCATCTGCAAGATTCACCAAAATGAAATGGAATGGAATTTCACTCCTTTGTTATGTTCTTGTTAAGACAATAAATTTATAGACTTACAAGGATCATGCACAAATTGCTTTTGCCCATTGTCATTCCATGAAGAGATAGCCATAATGGACCTATCATGGTTTAAAGATAACAACTTCTTAAATTAGGGTTTCAATATGTGTTTTTGATTATGGATGGAATAAGAATCCCTGTGTCTCAAATAACAGGTCTTATCAAATACATATTATAGATAATATGTCATTTCCAGTTCATACAGTGACTTACTTATCTTTGTCAAGGAGGTCTGCTCCAGCCTCAAAATAATCAAAAAAGTCAGGAGAGATTTCCATATCATCTGCATCACATAAGCATTTATATAATCTCAAGTCTTTTTGACTTTCAACTTCTAAGAGCTTTAGAACAGAAACAGATGCAACCAAATTATAGAATTGGAATGTACCTTCAAGTATGATGACCCGATTAAAATTATGTTTGTAAAACAATTGATCCAGTGCCCATTTGTAGTGGCCTGAAAATATCAGAGTTAAAAAAAAAAAAAAGCATTCTTGAAAATATATAGAAATGGAATTGAGGTAAAAACATTTCTTACGTGCAATCTTGTAATATGCAATTAATTCTCCAGGCCTTTCAGTATCCACTGGTTCATAATCCAAGTGCTGCGACAATGATATTTAAAAAATTGGAGTTGATTTCCCATAATAGTAACACACTTATATTTTTTTTAACCATAATAGCAATGTAATTACATTTTTTATATTTAAAAAATTATCATACATCTTTTATCCAGATAACAATTAATGGGAAAAATATTAATAATAATCATGACAAAGATCTACCTGCATGTAGGTCAACTGATCGTAACTCATAGCCTTTGTTCTAACATCAGAATTTGACCCATCCTGAAAATCTTCAAATTTAGAGAGAGAGAGAGAGAGAGAGAGAGAGAGAGAGAGAGAGAGAGTTTAGCCTCTTTCATAATAATATCAAAATGCAATATACCTGGGATACAAAAACCGGAAATTTTGATGCAACAGTGCTATGATACCTAAAATTATGAAGAGTTGGGCCACATAATTAGTCAACAGATGCAAAGTTGACTTGCATTAAAACAGGGTTAAATGCAAGAAATAGTAATGCAGTTTAATTTACAAGTTTATTATAGCATCCTACGTTCATTTCATCCTATTACATCATTCTTCTTTGAAAATTCTACCCAAATATAGCAATGTCATCTAAACACAAAGAAATTAACTGCTACAATTTGGTAGATTTTTCAAAATACAATGTCTTAGATAAGAAAAAAAAAAAAAAAAAAAAACTAAAATTAGGTAGGTCTTTCAAAGTACAATGCCTCAATAGGAAAAGGAAATTGGAAGTAGAATGAAATAGGATGTTCCTATATCTTGCATTTAGCCCTGAAAAATAAATTAGAATTTAGAACCACTTACTTAAAAATAGAATTAATAGTCCTTTCCAAATAGTCAGCACGATTGCAAGCCATAATAACAACAGCTGCAACTGGTGCCTTTACTTGTTCAAACAAGCTTTTGACTCCTTTCTCTACAAATTGATAACATCAAGACTCATATATAGCTTGCTAGATTAAGCCCATTAAGTCAAAAAGAAGCAATGCCTAAATATATAGAAATAACAGACCCTTTATGGTATTGAGTATTGACTTACTTTCAAGATTTTGAACAAGTGTCCTCAATTGTTCACACTCCTCTTCTTGGCGTCTCACTTTTTCTGAAAATACAAGTAAAAGATAAACAAGGCTGGATATGAATTGAATCTTTTTTCTTTCCAAATGAAAAAGGATTTTCAATTAACATAACTCACCATATCTAATCAAAACTAAATATTAGCAATTGTAACAGGAATTCCATGTAAAGGTATTAGGTCCAGTTAGCCGATTAACAAATTAAGGGCTAAATGCAACAAATAGCAATGGATTTTGAAAAGCCCTAATTACCTTCCAAAACCACCACCTTTTGTTTCTGCATACTTATCTCATCAATCAAGAATCGCATCTGGCTTGTACAATGATTTTCCCCTTCCACCTGTTATTTAAATTTTTCGATTTAAACACTGAGCCATTATTATAATAATCATAAAACAAAAAAATAGTTCAATTGCTAAATCGATGAAACAGTGAAGTATCAAACTACATTGTGCTTTCTGTATTTTTCCTTTTATTTTTCAAAATCGGATAACTGGGAAAATCAAAAGAGGTAAAATGGTTTAATCAATACAGAAAATAGGTAAGTGATTATCAACTCCAAAACTTAATTCCTACACAATCCCCTTAAATAATGAACTGTTATTTTTTTCCATTAAGTTGTATGACTATGGATAAAATGTTGTCTGAATAAATGATGGTAAAAAATAGCAAATGGAAGGGAAAAAATCATAAGGGAAACAGTATATGATATACTTACTGCAACTGCAATTTTGTCTGCATACTCAGACTGGGCCTTAAACAGCCTCACCTGTTGTGACATAAAAACATAACAAATTTTAGGTCTAAATGCAAAAAATAGCAAACTTCTTTCATTTATTTGTGCATTACAGCATCCTGCTTTCGTTTCTTTCAAATATTGCATTGTACTACAATCTATGAATTATGGAATTGAAATTTGATTTTCATTTGGATGAAATTAGTATAATTAGGTAAATTTTTTGACCAATTCATTTTGAAAATAGCGAGCATAAAGGGGTGTTGTATTGTAGGCCTAGAAAAGCATTTTGATGTATATCAAAGTTTATAGCGTCTTTTATCACTCGTTTGCTGTTATGTATCTAACAGGCTTCTTGCCTGTGTCAACTACTAGGTGCAAATATACTGGAGAAAGTTGGATCATAGATTTTAGATATTAAGAAATTCAATAAATTTTAATCACAATGCAGCAGAAGTTCAACACAAACTGAAATAACATAGAAAACGAAAGAAAATGCAACTGATAGCAACGTTTCACCTGGGTATAGATGAAGGCGATTGCAACGAGAAGAAGCAAGCATCTAAAACCGCCAGACCATCTCGCCATTGTTGTTTGTTGACTTTATGTTTTACGATCGAATGCTTCAGAACAGCATATGAACTGAAACCCGTGATCTCTCTATCTCTCTTAAAATAAAAACTTCACAATTTCCAGATTCTAAATCCTCTGTTCTTCAGGTCAATCAGAGTCCAATCATAACAATTTTGGTTTCACTGCAGCTCGGCCATTGTTAGCTTGAACCCTTGATAAAGTTGGGATTTCTCTAAACCCTAATTGTTAGTTGATGATCATGTGATTCATCTGAAGAGGCACGTATTCTGAATTCTATTTGGTTGTATGACTCGTATCCTGTTTTCTTGTGGAGTTTTTACTCCAAAATTTGAATCCCTACTTGGGTTTGTTTGGATCTAGACCAAACATGTAAGAAAACAAACAAAGTCCTCACTCCCATTTAACACGATTTATTTTCTTCCATAAGTTAAAAATTTTTTACTTGGTGATAAATATTATTTTGTATCAATTTTTCATTGAATTTGGCACATGGAGAGTTTTAGAATTATTGTTTTCTATTTGTTATTTTTGTTTTTTATTTGAATGTAAATTACTAAATATCATTTTATATTAATTAATTTTATTAACATATTTACCTTTTATTAATAGTTTTCAACTGTAACGTTTAATTCCTATACTTTTTTTTTTCCAGTTTTTTCTATTAATTCCAAAAACTTTCATGTGTCCCTCTTTTGATTCGGCCATTATTTTTTCACAATTTGAATACAGCGTCAATGCAATATTTATCAACTTCCTTTTTACTCATATAAACACGCAATTGAGTTAATTTAGTAATTTAATTATAGTGTAATGTCATTAAATCAGAAACAAATTTTCTGTTTTTTGGTATGTATATAATTTTACCACTTAATATCAATGTTGTAAATTCGCCGAGTTGACCGATTACTCGTCCGAATACTCCTTACTCGGCCCCTTACCGAGGCAAGTTATAGAATCCGAGTACTCCCCGTTCAGCTTCTTACCAAAGCAAGCAACGTTGTAAAACTCGGTCAACTCGGTGATTAATATGTATAATATTATGATTTATTATTTACCACATACGCATGTGATTATTACTACACTCGTTTATAACCCGTGGAAACCCCGGTTACAAAATTAATTAAATTTTTATAGTAAAACTCAAAATTATTAACCACTTATTTCAAATAAATTATTAATTAAGAGATTTTTTTTAGTTATATAAAATTACAATCATTGATTTAAATAAATATGTAAAATTATATCACTTTATAATTTGTATTAATTTTGCTTTAATTTTTCTTCTAATGTTATTAATTTAATGTAATTTAAAATTTGAAATTTGAAATAAAGAATCAATAGGTTGACAAGTGACATGCACTATTTAGGAGATATAATAGGGTGATACATTACAAATGACAAAAGAAGAATAAAATATACATTAATTATGAGGTATAATATGGTGACACATGTCAAAATAAGAATAAAAGTATTCTTTTATTAAAATAGGAAGATATATATCTTAAATTTTCAGTTATTATTCACAAAGTGAGACCATTATGTGTTTTTCATTTTTTGTGTATTGATATGTATCTAACTTTGTTATATATTTCAACCAACTTATGGTTTTAACTTATGATTTTGACATATATAATTTCTCTAAAGATATTTCTACATGAATTACCGAATCTGAGTACTCGCTACTGGGTAGTCGGCCGAACAGGTACCGAGTAATAAGTTCTACAACCATGCTTAATATACGCATCTTATTTATCCTCAATAATATCATGCAACTTATTCCCTTAAATATTGGAAGAATCACGATCTTTGATCATATGAAGTGTATGTTCACCGATTTTGGTCTTTTTTCACATCTTAGTTGAGATTAAAAATAGTCAACTCATCCTACAAACAGTTTCTATCTTTGAAGTTTTTTCGTTCGTACTTTAAATCTGATCAAGGAACTGCATTTCTACAATTGAGTTATTATGTTTAACAATGAAGCATCATTTACAGTTACAAAAGTTCGAGAAGCATAGGAGAGTCAACACATGACTTAAACTGCAGACTTTTATGAGCTTGATCCCTGCATTGTGAGTCTTTTGCATGTTTCATGCATTATTATAGGTACTCATTTAAGCATTGCAATTATTGACTAATAGTGTTGTCCTTCTTCAAAAAACTTGGAACCAAGTTTGGGGGACGAGTGAATTACAGTTGATACTGTTTATTTCATGCAACATTTCATGTTAAACTTCATCGTTTGATTTAACATTGAACTTTCCTACCCATATTGAAGATATAGAGTAAACTTATGTTTTAGAGCAATTTTGTTTTGAAAGTAAAGAGAAAGTAACAAGACTTTTTCATAATGTGTCATATTTATTGAAACCAACATGGGTATGTGAATTAGTTTTTTTAACAAGTTCTGCAAATTTTAATGTTCTTTTATTTAAAATAATTGTATATCTTTATTTCTATGTTTTAATGTGGATGATTCTAACATATTTTAAATTGTTTAAGTGTCTTTCCATATGTATACAGTCTCTCCAAAAACACACCATGTAAAAGTGATTTTGAAGCTATATGCAAGCTTTTCAAATCCACATCTACCCCTTAAAATGCATTATTAGAAAAGACATTCAAACTAAGAACCTGGTGGTGATTATAGGAGGATCGAGGCTAAACCGCTTCGCCATTAAAATCTTTATTAAATTGCAAAATCTCTTAAGTTTTTCGGAAAAAAAAAACTTACTTCTCAAATTTATTATGTAACAAAAACCTTATTATACAATTGATTTTTTTTGACAGAAACATCAAATTTTGGAAGAAACTTTATTTAAGGTGCAAGTGGTTGCAGCTAAAAATGAGATTATCATTTTGATAGAGATTTTTTTGTTTTACTAAATATTTTTTTCTTATTTTAGCATTGTACTTTGAAAGTACAATGTTATAATTCAAAAAACATATGCATGTGTGTGTATGTATGTGTATGTATCTGTATGTGTTTGTGTATCTGGTTTCATTTTATTTTTTCTTATTTAAGCCATTGTACTTTTAAAAATCAAAATACTTGATTTTTGTTGAGTTTAGGTTACCAAATTCACATTTTTTGCATATCGTTTTGTTTGACTAATTAGTTAATTATATTGCTTTGTTCCCAGTCTCTGATTATCTTTTAAATTTCATTATCCTAAGCTAATTTCATCATCTAATGGCATTACTCTTTCTCTTGATCGGGTCTAATAAGTTTATAAGATTAAATTTTCAAAACTTAGGGGTTGTTGATGCGTCTTCACACCAACACCACCATCAACTCTTCACCGTGTGGGATTTGATTGAAAGGTCCAAACTGATATGTAAAGTAGCCATTTTATAATTATCGACATCTGCTAAAATTTTCAAAATCATTTATAAATATGGCATCCTAATTTCATTTTTGAATGTTATGGTGTAATTGCCCTTTTATAATTCCTTTTAAAACCATTAAAGGTGACAAACTTGACCACCATTAGACCTAGACCATCTGTTAACCTTCATTTAATCCGCTACTTTTAGTTGTCGGACAACCATACATCACTAAAATAATTACCCTCCATATTCAACCTAAAACCACTCATAGCCCTTTCAACCTCCATCGTTTCATCTTCACTCATACTAATCGATTGAGACATCTAACAATTTTTGAAAACACAAACAAAATTAGTATATAAAAGTAAACCCTAAAATTGAATGTTAACAATTAAGCAAAATCCAAGAGTAGATAGGATGATAAAACAATGTCATCCTATTGCAAATGATAAACAACCGAAGTGGTGGAGGAACTAAATTATCCCTATATAGCTATACATAGAAGAAATGTGCCATATTGATGTTATACTATTGCAAAAACCTAAATTTCATCAAAAACAAACAAGTTGGAACAATAACAACTTACTACTAAAACACACAAATAATCAAACACGCACAAATCAAATATCATCACAGGTTAAAGAATCACAACTATAAGATGTCATATAAACATACAAACACATAGTGACATAGAGACACGAAGAAACTAGAAAGAGGGTGAGGCTTCTTACCTAAATACTAGGCGACAAGTGGCAGCTACAATTGAAAGGGGGGCAGGCTTCAAGCTTCAACTTCCTATCTGGTTTCTGAATGAAATCCCCTAATTTTCCTCTTTCCTAGTATAGTCCCGACTCCTTTTGAATCAAATAATAAGTAATCGGTTTACATAAACTACCCCATACTATGGAATCATATTTATTTTTATCATCATTTTTTTAAAAACCAAATTGCTAAAAGGGCTAAAATGTCTTTTATTTTATATTGACTATCTAACATATTTATTTAATATATAAAATATAGCATATATTGTTTAATTAATTAAATAATTAATACAATTCCGTTTATGAAATGGTTTTCGATCCACTTCTACGTATCATTATACTATAAAGTACATTGATATGTATGAAAATACAATCATAATGTAACAACACGTTACTTTCTAGTCAAGAAAAGTCAAAACCTTTAAATAAAATTTCAAGTTTTATTTGTTTCATTAAGTTTACGAGGGTTAGAACATGATATAAATTATAAATGATGTTTTTATATAAGTGTTTAAAAGAAAATACACTTAAAAATCAACATTTCCCCTTTTGGAACCGAGAACCCTCGCACCGAAAAACCCTTCTCAGCCGCAAACTCCTCGGACCGAAAACAGATTTCGGCCGAGAACCCCCTTTCCATCCGAAAACTTAACCGCTATATATATTTTTACTCAAAAACTTAGTCATTTTCTCACCTTTCAAACCAAAAAATACACTCATTTTGCTCTCAAAAATCATCCAAGAACCTTCAAACATTCAAGAAAAATCCTTCAAATCTTCATATTTTTCACCAAGAACACCAAGGACAATCTTTAAATCTTCAAGCTAAACGAAAACACTTGGACCGAGAACTCGTTTACGACCGAAAACACCATAAGACCGAGAACCAGGTTCTCAGTTGAGGTTTTAAGATCGAAATCAAGGATTTCGGTGAAGGCTAGACCGAAAACCCTCTTCAACACTCCAAACAATTCTCGGTAATTGTTTCTTACATAGATTAAGTGTTGTTTAACACCTCAAATAATTATTTCGATAATCTAAATATGAATACTATCCTAAACCCATTTTTAGTTCTTAATGTCTAAAACTACATTTCATTATCTAAAGAAAATAATGGACTTTTTGGAAGAACACTATAACATTTTCAAGGAACCGAAACAAGTTTTTTCCATCTCATAAACATACTTATGAACTCACCAACTTAAATGTTGATACACTTTTAAAATCACTTGTATTCTCAGGGAACCAGTAGACAGGTACACCTGCAGGATTTTGAGAAGACGGAGCTTTATAGAGTCGCGTATTTTATACATTTTGTTATACAC